CCAATAAGAAATGGCAGTAAATATTTTACAATTTTAACTCATTAATCTTGAACTGAACACATGCCTCCAAGGAAATGATGCTTTACAATTTGTAAAGTAAGAAACATCCTTTCTTAGTAACGATACTTTCACACTCTTTGCGGTATTTGCTTCCATCCCCGCTCGGCTCTGTGATCTGCATCCCCCACTGATTTTGTCAACACCCTCAGGTAGGGTCAGAGTTTAAATTCACATCTCCCGGAAAACAAGTCACACCTTCAGAGGTGTGACCCAGAACTCCCACTGAACTCAGTTCCTGGGAAAGGAAGGCTGTCTTGATCACAACAACATGCACAGGGCTTTTTGCACGAAGCGAATTCTCAATAGATGTGATTTAAAATAATGCAAGTCACTGTTGTCATGGTTTTTCTAAAGATATAAGCAAAATTGAAAGCATCTATTTTGTTCAAGTAGCCTTTCTCTGGAGAATGTTCTCTGAGTTAAAGAAGAGGAAAGGAGGCCAGGTGCGGTGGCTCACGCCTGTAATCCCAGCACTTTAGGAGACTGAGGCGGGTGGATCCCGTGAGCTCAGGAGTTCGGGACCAGCCTGGGCAACATGGTTGGTGAAACCCTGTCTCAACCAGAAATACAAAAATTAGCTGGATGCAGTGGTGTGTGCCTGTAATCTCAGCTACTTGGGAGACTGATATGGAAGGATTGCCTGAGCCTGGGTGGCAGAGGTTGCAGTGAGCCGAGATCGCGCTACTGCACTCCAGCCTGGGTGACAGAGCAAGACCCTGCCTCAAAAAAAAAGAAAAAAAAGAGGCCGGGGAGATGGGTGGGAAAGGGGCTGTCTCTGACAGTTCGACGAAGAAAATTCAGGATATAGATATATACCCCTTGTTATGGTTAATAGTGAGTGTCAACTTGATTGGATTGAAGGATACAAAGTATTGATCCTGGGTGTGTCTGAGAGGGTGTTACCAAAGGAGATTAACATTTGAGTCAGTGGGCTGGGAAAGGCAGACCCACCCTTAATCTGGGTGGGCACAATCTAATCAGTTTCTATCGCAGTTAGAATATAAGCAGACAGAAAAATGTGAAAAGAGAGACTGGCTTAGCCTCCCAGCCTGTACCTTTCTCCTGTGCTGGATGCTTCCATTTCAGAGGTAAGGCCCTTGAACACCAGACTCCCGTTTCTTCAGTTTCAGAATTCGGACTGGCTCTCCTTGCTCCTCAGCCTGCAGATGGCCTACTGTGGGACCCTGTGATTGTTAGAATTAATACTTAATAAACTCCTCTTTACATACATATATCTGTTCATTAGTTATGTCCCTCTAGTGAACCCTAATACACCTCTGTACTCATGAACAAGAAAAAAGTAACTTTAGGGACTCCAATATTTCTAACAGTTCAGCTTAGGCAATATTTTTGAGGATCCTGCTGTGTACTGGACACTTGAACAAGTGCTGTGGAGCTGAAGATAAATGAGGACTCACTCAAATCCTAACAGAGCTGATTTTCTACTAGAGGAGAAGTACATAAAGAGAGGGTACACAAGGGAGGTTTCTAGACATTTCATCTAAGGCAGGCACATTTCTACTCTGTTATGCTGAAAATTGCTTTGCAACTGCAACCAAATCATCACTTACATAGATTAATTTTTTTCTAGGGCCCTAGCTCAATTAATGATATTTGGAAAATAATCTTTTTTTTTTCCATATCACATCTTTCTTCCTAAGTGCCACCACAGTAGCTTGAAACTAAGTTTAACAAAGTCTTTCAAAATATTCCACCTTTTGGAGAGAGAGTAAATGGTAATAATAGTTTATTAATCACACAAAATGTATTTGCATTGTAAATTTGAATTGGTAACTTTGCATAATGAAAAGTTGAAATCGCAACATATACAAGGAGCAAAAAAGCAATTCGAGCCCCAGTTTATAACTGAACAGTCATCTTGTCTTTTTTATTTGCTCAATTGTTTACCACTGCCTTCCAGTATTTATTTTAATCCATTTCTCTAAACAGATATTAATAAATTTTAGAACTTCCGTTGTGCCCTTCGCCTAAACACAAGCAAAACAAATTTATCTTCTTCTATTATAATTGACTTATTTTTCCATTATTTGAGTTTGCTTCTCATGAGTTGCATGTGAAGTACGGAATGTTTGCAGGATGTACAATTTAGCCATTTTGGATTGCATCCATTTCTCCAGAACAACACTGATTGCAACATTAATTAAATCATTCTGCAGAGTTTTAAAGCAGAATCAGTGACTGAGCCTTGACCAGAAGGAGAACGAATGCCAGCAGTGGAGGCCTGGGGGTTTCAGAGACAGATTTTCCCACAGAGGCAGGGATGGAGGAGGGAGGCGAAGTAGGTGGGGGAAGCTACAGTCCCACTTCTCTCATGAGGATAGAGGTAAATTCTTGCACTAGCCATAACACCTCAGAGGTAAGGCAAAACTATTGGATAAAATGCACAGATACTGTTCTCTTCACACCCACCCAAGTTTCTTTTAATGTTCTACCCAATGTTCTGTCCAGTGTTTCAGGACTTCTGCCCCTGCCTGCAAAATAATGACACCCATGGCTCTCTCGACTATGCCCTCCCCATTGGTGAGGGAAGGGGAGGTTGGCTTAGAGCTCAGCTTCCCCTGTTAGGGCTTCCTTAGCACTCAGCCAAGCCCATATCCTCAGCTCTCTTCCCTACACAACTTCCCAGTTTAACTGCCTTCCGATAACTCCATGCTCACCTCTTCCATCTCTGGAGCTACCATCCCAAGAGCCTTCCAGATGCTCCCTAATCACCATGATCCCCAGGACACCCCACTGCTGATCAGCGGGAGGCCTGGGAAAGAGCGGCCACAGACAACGAAGTTTCTCCACGACCAGCAAAAGCCAGCTCCTGTGCTGGGCCAGTTTCAGGGACCAGAGAATAAAGCTGGCTGTGAAGCCCTAGAGGTCAATCATTTATGATACTGGGAGAGAAAGAAGACAGGAGTGGGTGCTTTCTGCTTGGCCCATCAGCCTGCCTGAGCCCACAAGGCTGCGAGTCCCTTTGAAATGGCCTTGGGACTCGTCTTTTGACCCTTCTGATCCACAGCCTGCTCCCCTGAAGAGTTCAAGATGACTTTCTGTTCTTAGCATTCACTCATTTGAAACTTGATCATAGGTGGCCTGCGGACAGCTCTTGTCTTATTCTTTAGCTTTTAGATTGTGATTTAACTTTTTCCCATGGGATGTTTGATCTCAGTTCCTTGAAGGCAGAGAAGTCCCTGGTGACAGGCTGCAATCTGGACATGTTGTAGGCATGGCAGGGACTAGGAGAATCAGTTGTTCTTGGGTCTACACCTGCAATGTTAAGATGCACGGCAGGAAGCAGAACAGATGATGGAGCTTTTGTTCTGAGAGCATGCAAACAAGGAGGATGTGAGGCATTTTTTAAAAGATGGAATCCAAATTGATGTTTTTTGTTTTTTGGAGACGGAGTCTCGCTTTGTCACCCAGGCTGGAGGGCAGTGGTGCGATCTCTGTTCATTGCAAGCTCCTCCTCCAGGGTTCACGCCATTCTCCTGCCTCAGCCTCCTGACCAAATTAACATTTTACTTAATTATTTGGACACTCTTTTAGACATGCATTATCTAATTTTCTTAACCCTTCACACCAGTTTGTATAGGTAGACGCCCTTCAACTACAGGGAAAAACGGTGCTGACATCACAGGTCTGGACACAGCTGTCCTTGTGGAAGGGTAATGGTCTGTGATTGCCAGAAGCTGCATATGTCAGCCCCTCTCCATCACAGCTAATAATCTTTAATTACTCAGAACACCTGTCCTTGCCTTGCAGAAGTAACTGTTTGTTTCATGGTAATCTCCCAATCTCCCATCATTGACCCTTGGCACCATAAATGGTGTATTCATTCATTTATTCATTATATGTTTACTTAAAACTTACCACTCTTTGGGCAAGCACTGAACCAGAAGGTTGGAATACAGGATCATAAAATGCAACTACTGCCCTCGAGGGGGACTCCTTACAATGGAGTAACAAATAGCTACGTGACAGGCTTGGGTTATAACACAAATGTTCCAGGAATAGAGGAAGACCAGAGAAGGCATCCCAGAGCTGAACGTAGCATGTGACTTGAGTTTTTAAAGATGAGTTAGCAAGCCATTAGATGTAGAATTGAAAAAAATATTTGAGGCAGAGGGATAGTTTGTGCCAAGACAGGAAGACATGAAAGAGTCTGGAGCAGGCTGAGAAAGACAATCTGTTGGAATGGACTGACTGTTGGGGTATGTGTGTTGGAAGGAGGGGTTGATAAGCCTGGAGAGGTGGTAAATAATCTTGATGCCATGTCTCCTGTCTATCTTAACCAGTAGATAAGGGGAAACCAGTTGAGTTTTTTATAGAAATAAAATGATTAGGGTTAGTTTTAGTAGGGTTGTTCTGATGTGAAGAGACACATAGAAGATGCCATTCTAGAAGCCAAGAAACATGAGTCTTGCCTGCCAGTCAAAGGGAGGTCTAGATTAAGGGAGAGTGAGGCTTTAGAGAAAAACAGGAATGAGGATGGACAGATCTGGTGCCCTATTGGAAGGGAAGAATTTTGAGGTAACTTTTGGGTGGTAGGGCCCACTTACTGACATAAGGAATACTATAAAAGGGGTTTTTGTTTTGTAATATGGGTAGAGTATAAACTTGTATTTGCACCAATAAATGTTACTCATGACTTGTAATGTTTTCGCATCAGCTCACACTGTACCCCTTCCCGTGAAAATCACACAGTGTCAATTTCATGACTGGTGGCAGTGTCCCATTTAAAGACATCCTGCAGTTATTGAAATCCCTCTCCTCCTCCACATACTTTCCTTTCTCCCACAACAGACTCCCTCTACATGAACTCCTCCCCACTGCGAGACACCAATCAGAGTTCAGACTGAGGGCAAGCATAGACAGTTCTGGGCGCTGCTGCAAGTACAACTTCTATAAAAAGACATTGAGAAAACAATGAGCAATGTTGCCATTTTGCCTTTAATGGAAAAGTGGCCAGTGGTTACAGTAAAAAAAAAAAAAAAAAAAGTTCTTTTAACAAAACAAAATTTTATCCAGCTTCTAGGCAATCACTGAATTTTCAGAAATACACATGTACTTGAAAATCAATCTTTTTATAAAAATAAACTCTGAATGTGTGATTAAAAAGGAAGAAGCCCAGTCTTTTAGCTGCACAAATGCATATTAAAAAGGAGAGGCATCTGTCTGAGATAGTTCACCCCAGTGCAGTGGGGGCTTTGACTTTGGGAGACAGAGCCTGCTTGAAGCGTCTCTTCAGGTCCTGCATATTGGGAGAGCGGGGCCGAGGGATGATGGAGGCTCTTCTTCTTTCCCCACTGAGGCCGTGCATCTTGCTTACTTCTTTGCAGAGATGCTGAAACACATCACAGACATCTTCATAGTTTTCGCTAGTGGAAATTTCAAGGAACAGGCTGCCCAGCTCATTGGCTAGCTGAATACCGTCCTGTGTCTGCACCTGCCGGGCATGCAAAAGGTCCCCCTTGTTGCCCACAATGATGACAGGGGCTTTAGAGTCAGGGTGGACCTTCCGGATGTGCTGATAAAGGGGTCGGATGGACAAGTAGCTGTCGTAGTCTGTGATGGAATAGACCAGTAAAAAGCCCTCGGCCCACTGCACGCATTTGGACAGGGAATCGACGACCTGGGGGAGGCTGTCTTGGATCTGAGAAAACATCAAAATGACATCCAGTCAAGGAAACCCTCAGTGGGAGATAAACTCAAAACCATCAAGGCAACCCTTGAAGAAACACTTGAAAAAGAAATCGCTAAACACAGTTTTCAGTTTCCACCCAGCTTCTGCAGAAGCAGGCTTTTGATATGGAAAGAGCAGATTCCCAGGCAAACTCCCTGCCTGGGTTACTTTATTAGCTGTTATCCCTGCATTATTTTTAAACCCCTTGCTTGTCAGGCAGTCTCTGGTGAACCATGGCTGACTGAAGAATGACCTTAAACTAGAATGGCTCAAGTTTTAGGAAACACTAACTCATAATAAACAAAACTTTGAAAATAAGCCAAGATAAATATCTATTCCCAAACCCATAAAAATATTTTTAACATGCACTTCTTAAGAATGTTACAGAAAGAAATTCCTTTCTTAGGGTTCTTCCACAAGACCTTTCCTCTGGAGAAGGGAGTAGCAATTAGTAACTGGTTAATAAACAAGTTACATTCTAGACCCTCTGCCAAGGGGTTATCTGATTGCAATTACTGACTTGAGGGAACAGCCATTAACAGCAGCACTTCAGCAGTGCTTGGCCAGGCGCTGTGGCTCATGCCTATAATCCCACCACTTTGGGAAGCCGAGGTGGGCGGATCACTTGACGTCAGGAGTTCGAGACCAGCCTGGCCAGCATAGTGAAACCACATCTCTACTAAAAAAATATAAATAAATACATAAGTAAATAAATAGTTGGAGTTGTGGCGGATGCCTGTACTCCCAGCGACTCGGGAGGCTGAAGCAGGAGAATCGCTGGAACCTACCAGGGGGAAGTTGCAGTGAGCTGAGATCCAGCCACTGCACTCCAGCCTGGGCAACAGAGTGAAACTCCGTCTCAAAAAAAGCAGAGCTTACCAGGGGAGAAGACTCTCCCACTAGAATCCTACCTGTTTTTTTGTTTTGTTTTGTTTTAAATGTCTTTCTCTTTGTTAAAGGTTCCACGGCTACCTCTGGAAGAAATGGTGAGACCTGCCTAAGTAGTGATGGCCCACCAGGGTTGCAAAGTGAAGTTAAGTCAGGTGCTTAAGAAGAGGAGGCTGCTTCTAACCATGCCTCCCCCTTAGAGAGTTTCTAACACCCCAACTACTGGCCCCCCCTGTGGAGAGCCCATTCCTACCTGTAAATGCACAGGTTGGTTTAGATGCCTTGTTCAGACCCCTGCGCCCAGCGTGGGCGCCCTACGTGCTGTGCCCACCGGGGTGGTCTGACGCGTGGGAGTGAGCTGTTTGCCCCTGGCGGTTCTTACCTGGACGCCCCCGGGAGTATCCTGGATCTGCAGGGAGAGCTGGTCCCCCTCAACGTAGACCAGACGTGAATACAGCTTGCCTGGAGAATGAAGGAGAGTTTGCTTTTCAATTCTCAAACGCCTATCCAGAAAAAGAAACACGCAAGCATAAAAGCAGGGAGCGTGAAAGTATTCTCACCTGTATTCGGTTCATAGTCGCCAATGAATCTCTTGGTCAGGAAGCGCACGATCATTGCTGAAAAGGAAATGGGCAAATCAACCGAAGGAGTCGGACAAGCGGGTCAAACCCAGGAACCCCCGACGAACTGGGGGGAGTGAGGGGCGCAGAACCGTGGGCACTGCTCGCTTCCAGAGGCTCCGCAAAACTGAGGTGCCGCGGGCTCGGCCGCGAGTATGACTGGCGGGACACCTCCCCCGCACCTCATCCCCGCACAGGCGCCAAGCCCGCCGAGAGCCCAGGAGTAGATGCCCCAGGGAACGCCGGGGAAGCAGGCCGGGACTGACCCGGACCCCCGAGCGCGAAAGCAGCCGGGTTCTACCTGGCCCCCGGCCCTCTGCTTCGGCCGAAGCTCCCTTTCTCCGTCCGCAGCGCCCCCAGTGGTCGCGGTCGGAGCCGGGGAGCGAAGCCGCCGCGGGGTCCCCGCCGCACTCACCACTCTTGCCCACGCGGCTGGCGCCCAGCACCGCCAGTTTGATGTCCTTGGGCAGGAGGTAGTCCGAGGAGGACTCGGGGATGGGTGAGAGCAGAAAGTGCCCCGACATGCTGAGCGGCCGCATGGAGCGCGTCCCGCGGTCCGGCGCGCAAGCCAAGCGGACTGGGCCTCGCCGCACCCGGAGCCGGCTAGCCAGCGGGGAGTGCGGGACCAGGAGTCCGGGACCGCGGCGGCTGCCAGCACAGCTGTCAAGACCCGCGGCTTTTAAAGGGCCTGGTGCGCCCGGGAGCGCGGCGGCCGCCCCAGCTCCTCCTCGTCTCCGCCCCTTCCCGGAGCTGAGGGGAGGGGCGGGAGCAGAGGCCGCGGAGCGGACTATCGCCGAGGCTGTGCGGTTCGCCGGGCTGCTGGCTGCTCGCGGCTCCAGGCGCTCTGCTCAGGACTGCGGCTCCGGGGCCCAGACCCTGAAGATACAGCCACCATCCCGAGCGCGCGGGCGGCCTCTAGTCAGGCACTCTGCGAGTCTCCTCACCCCGCAGCAGCCAGCCGGAGTCACTAGACCTGTGGGTGAACTTGAGATGAGTTACGAGTTGGCGAGGGAAGAAAGAAGAAAAAGTGCGATCAGCTGGATGTTTCTGCAACAATGGGAGAGACAGATTCCTGTAAAACGCTGCCCTTTTTATTTTTAAAACGTGCTAAGGAGCTGGGCGCGGTGGCTCACGCCTGTAATCCCAGCACTTTGGGAGGCCGAGGTGGGCAAGATCACCTGAGGTCAGGAGTTCAAGACCAGCCTGGCCAACATGGCGAAACGCTGTCTCTACTAAAAATACAAAAATTAGTGGGGTGTGGTGGTTGGCGCCTGTAGTCCCAACTACTCGGGAGGCTGAGGCAGGAGAATCGCTTGAATCCGGGAGGCGGAGGTTGCAGTGAGCCGAGATGGCACCACTGCACTCCAGCCTGGACCGCAAGAGCGAAACTCCGTCTCAAAAAAAAGAAAAAAAGAAAAGAAAAGGTGCTAACGGATGACGTTAATATGGGAAAAGGGAGGGCGAGGGCAAGAGCTCTGAATTAGTATCAGTGGAGGCAACTGCAGTTACTGTGACCTTGCTAGGGATAGATTAAGTCCCCTTAGGGGCAGTGATGGTTAGCAGCTCAGTATCCATTACCAGTCCCTCTTCTGCAGGCAGGGATTGCACTGGCTCATTCCTGAACACTCATGAGCACTCCACAGGCTGGCGGCCCTGGCTCTCCACTAACTGTTCATCATTAATACTATCCTATGTGCTTGAGTCATGCGTTTGCTTCATTATCCAAGTATTTACTTCTAGGTGCATGGGGGGGTCTAGGGTGGGGTGGGGGGCAGTGTGAGGAACAGGACACAAAAGAGAGCTATGGACTGGTTCTTGGATTTCCAGAGCCCACCAGAAACAGCACGGCAGAAGCCTGAGGACTTTAACCTTGAACAGTTAGAAGACTTTCTGGCTTCTGGCCTCCTGTGTTCCAGCCTCACCTAATTGCCTATTAGACAGCCCCACCCTTATTCACACCTTTCTCTACCCTGGTTGTACCAGTTTTTGCTGCATGACAAACCACACCAAATTAGATGGTTTAGAACAACAATCACTTACAGTTGTTGAGCCCTTTGGTGCATCTGCAGGGAGCTTCCAGGTTCTGGAGGTGGGGGCTGGCTGCCCTTGGATAGCCTTACTCATGTCTGGCAGCTGTTGGCTGTGATGAGGGAGGGTAGTGACTGAGTTACATGTCTCTTTTCAGCAGGTTGGCCAGGGCCTACCCTCATGGTAGCTGAGCAGAGTTCCAAGAGAGTGGGTGGAAATGGACAAGGCCTCTTGAGACCTAGGCCTTGAGGTCGAACCCATCCCTTCCTGCTGCATTCTGTTAGTCAAAGAAAGTCATGAGGCCAGCCCAAATTCAAGGAGTACGGAAATGCACTCCGCCCCTTTGTGGAAACAGCAGAAGAGTCACATGTGAAAGGGCAAGGAAGCAGAGAGTGGTGGAGAATGGGGCCCATTTTTGTAATTGACCATGCTAATGTGTCTCCATCCACCCAGTGGCCCAAGCCTGGGAGACATCCTTGACTCTACCCACTCTCTCACTTCCACATTGATTAATCACCAAGTTCCATCATTTCTCCTCCTATATTTCTTGGTGTCTTCCTCTCTGTATCCCTACTGTTCTCATTTCTTATCTTCAGAATTCTGAATAATCCGAAAGTAAACTAGACTAGACTAGATGGTTTCTTCAGTTTACATGTTCCTCCCTTGGAGAAGCCGTCTCTGATCACTGCCACTGTCCCCACCCCTATCTTGCAGTTACTTGTTCTCAGGGCACTGATCTCGACTATCATTACTTTCTGGTAAAATGTTTGTTTTATGTCTGTCTCCAGGAGGACAGGGACTCTAGCTTGTGACTTGAGTACCCAGCACATAGTGGCACCTGGGACTGGCAAGGTCCTTAATAAATGTTTGTTCACTGGCTGACTTTCCAAATGAATGAATGAATGAATGAATGAATGGTGTCTTCAGTGCATGAACTGGAAAATACAGAAGTCATGTTTCTGACCATTTTCCCATTGCCTTGGTTTTGAGAGCAACTTGCTCTCAGGAGGACGTGTGCTGGGAGATGTCCTGAGATAAACTGCCATATTTAAGTTGTACTGACTTTTGGCTGTTCATAAGGCAATTTTCTCTGTTAAACTGCAGTTTAACTGGAAAGACTTGAAGCAGGGCACCTTCCTCCCTGATGGAGGAAAAGGCACCATAAAGACAATGGCTGTCTAGGGAACAACCAGAAACTGTTAAGTTCCAGGGTCACGTGCAGCTCCGTGATGGGGCTCTGGGCTGTTGTCTCTCAGATTCCCTTGACTTCTCCTTCATAGATGCAGGGTGGCTCCCGCAGTATCCTCACCCAAACAGGAAGGGAAGGAAGTATTCTGTTAGTTGTTCTCTTTAATTACGAAATAAAGCAGTTCTCACAAGAACCCAGCAGACTTTCTCTTACATCTCACTGGCCAGAACAAACTGGGAAAGATATTACTCAAGTATCTAGCAAAGACTGGGACGGCCATGACTAGTTTAGACAATCATGATTCCTCCCTCTAGCTGGACATACCACCACCCCCATTCAAAATCAAGAACTCACAGAGAGAATGATTGCCAAGGAGATCGGCCATCAACCCTGTTCCCCTTCCTGGAGTGAAAATCCAGCACTTTCAGGGGAAGAGTCCTTTCTTGGTGGAATGCTGCATCTCTCTGTCTCTCTTCACCTGCTTCTCTGTTTTACATTCCCAGTCTGGAGTAAGACCATCGCAGCTTAAAGTCTGCCAGTAAGGAAGATTCCTAAGCCTGTTCTCTGCCCAGTGACAATGATGTTCCACTTTGCAATTACACTGCACCTTTGCTCAGAAGAGCATGTGATTTCATTCTCCTTAGAAGAGCTCTTTGCATTTATAACTATATAAAATAATACATGACCTTCTAGTGAAGACAATAAATAACTGAACTGTAGAATTATAAATAGCCTTGTCTAAACCGTTGCTGCTTGTGTTCTGCCATTTCATTTTAAATTTGTGTCCAGAGTTATGTAAAACTGTGGTGCAACCAATATAACAGGCATGCTGAAGTGGTTTTAAAAAGATAATAGAAATGCGTAGGCATGGATACAGATATACAAATCTGTGGGTGTTCAGAATGAGTATAAAGGCCAGAGTTTGGTAATATGCAAATAATAGCAGTCTTGGGAAGTTATTAACTCTTTCCCAGTCAAATAAAAGCTTGAATTCTAGTCATCAGGCAAAACTTTGCCAAGGGTCCCCATCTTGTTCACAAACAACTCCCCCACCCCAGCCATAACCCAACATCAACTCCCTTTCCTGTATATCCTAAGTCCTCGACTACTGAGTTTACTGGAGCCTCAGAGCCCCTGCCTTTGAGGTGCTCTCCCTAAACAGGAATCATGGCTCTGCCCTCTACCAGTTCCCTACTTTACTTCAACTCAGCTGGCAAAATTACTGAAAATTGACTCTGTGAGGCTCTGTGGTAAGTGCTGGCACAGAACACAGAGAGCAGCGAACATTTACTAAGACAGCGAAGTATAACACACTCCTGCCTGCCTTCACAGACATCCCTGTAGTGAAGACATTTACCAAATCCACTATCATTTATAACTGCTGAGTTTACTAAGAAAATTCTAAAATATTATCTTTTTAATTAATCCTGTGAAACAGGTGAAGAATATCCTCTAAATTGTGGTTTAGACAAATTGAGTAACTTATCCAAAGTCATATAGTGGTGCAGGCCTCAAGCCCTCTGAGTTTTAATTCTGGCACATTCCACAGGTATAGAGGGCAGGATACAGAGCCGGGCACAGTGGCTCCCACCTGTAATCCAGCACTTTGGAAGGCCAAGGCAGCAGGATTGCTTGAAGCGTTTTCGACCCTGTCTTTACAAAAAGAGAAAAAAGAAAGAAAAAAAAGGAGGAAAAAAGGGAGGGAGGGGAAGGAAGGAGAGGGGAGGGAAGAGGATGGATGAAGGAAGGAGGAAGGGAGGGAGGGAGGGAGAAAGAAGGGGAGGGGAGCAGAGGGAAGGGAAAAGAAAAATTAGCCAGGCATGGTGGTACACACCTGTTGTCTCAAGTACTCGAGATGTGCTGGGAAAATTGCTTGAGCCCAGGAGATCGAGGATGCAGTGAGCTATGATCATACCACTGCACTCCAGCCTGGGCAACAGAACAAGACCCTGTCTCAAAAAGTTCAAAATTCAAAAAAATAAATACAAAATAAAGAAAGCAGGTTGTAGAACACTGTGTTGATAATGGAAGGCCAGAGCAGGTCAGGATGCAAACTCCAACAGAGCTGCCACAGGGAGTTAGATCTGACCTAAGTACCAGGGAAAGCTTCAGGGAGGCACAAACTGAGCTGCAAGTGTGAGTCACGTGTGATCGGTGGAAACCAGGGAAGGGCCATGTCAAACTGAGGGAACAGCATGCGCAAAACCATGAAGGTATATGGCAAGTGTGAGGAACTCTGAGTAGTCTCAACGGTGAGAAGGAGGTGGTAAGTGACCCGAAAGGCTGGGAGCCAGACTGAATGGCATGCTAAAAAGTTTATCGAGGGGCTATGGAAAGGCATGAATCATTTGAGGAGGACAGCTCCTTCTACAGTTGTTTCTCAGGTTATCTGTAGGGCGTTAGTTCCAGGACACACTGAGGATACCAAAATCCAGGGATGCTGAAATCCCTGATATAAAAAGAGTGTCGTATTTTCACGTAACTTATGCACATCCTTCCTACTTTATTTTTTGAGACGGAGTCTCACTCTGTCGCTCGGACTGGACTGCGGTGGTGATGTGATCTCGGCTCACTGCAACCTCCGCCTCCCGGATTCAAGCAATTCTCCTGCCTCAGCCTCCCGAGTAGCTGGGATTATAGGTGTGCACCACCACGCCCGGATAATTTTTGTATTTTTAGTAGAGACGGGGTTTCACCATGTTGGCCAGGCTGGTCTCAAACTCCTGACCTCAAATGATCCACCCACCTTGGCCTCCCAAAGTGCTGGGACTACAGGCATGAGCCACTGCGCCCGGCCCTTCCTTCCTACTTTAAATCATATCTAGATTACTTATAATACCTAATACAATGTAAATGCTATGTACATAGTTATACTGTATTGTTTAGGGAATAATGACAAGCAAAAAGTTTGTACATGTTCAGAACAGATGCAATTTTT